ATTGAGGGTTCTTGGGTGGTTGGCTTCCAATGGGCCACTTCCCTGAATGGACTTGCAGACTGTCAGGGACGCATGAAGAGGGAATTTGGAGGGAACGTTTTATTGCAACAACATCGTTGTTTCGTCTTGAGTTGGCCCTGGTCCTTCCTACTCCTCCTCCTCCCTTCTCCTCCACCTCCTCCACCTCCTCCTCCTCCTCTTCCTCCCCCTCTTCCTCCAAAGCACGTATCACGACACCGCTGCTATCCAGCACCCCCCCGGTTTTAGGTCACGAGGTCTGGATAATCAGCGGCCGCCTCAACGACGGATGCTCCTTCTCCTCCTCTCACTTCCTCAACTTGCCTCCCCTCTCCGCGCGAGAGACAAGAGGAGGGCAAGGAGGATGGGGATGAGGAAGAAGAGGAGGAGGAGGAGTGCCTGGGTGAGGATGGAGGAGAAGGACCATGAGAAGGAGAAAGACGAGGAGGAGGAGGAGGAGGAGGAGGAGGAGAAGGAGGACGAAGAGGAGGATCAGGACAGTAAGAATCTGGAGGAAGTGGGCGGGGGAAGGAGGATGATGGTGATAATGAGGAGAAGGAGGAAGAAGGGACCCGCAGGATGAGCATGGTGGGTAGGAGGACGGAGCCTGTACATATTTTTCACACTCCTGAGGATCTGCAACCTGGAGGGCGTTCTCGCCTCCTACTGCCAGCGCGCGGGCATCAAATATCACACGTACAGGCACCCTGCCTTCACGGCGACCCGGGTTGGTCAATCGAGCGGTTTTCGTTAATTTGTTGTTGCGCAGCTTGCACGACCTGCTCCTCCGCTCTTTCCTCCTCCTCGCCACCTTCCCCTGTTCACCCAACCAACTGGACCTCGTCGACGAGACTGGAAGTCCACTTCCTTCTCCCAGTCCTCCTCCTCGTCCTCCTCCTCCTCGTCCTCGTGGTCCTCTTCCTTCCCCCTCTTCGTCCACCTCTTACTTCTCCTTCTCCTCCGTCCCCCCACTCTCCTTTCCCGCCTTTGCCCAAGCTCATTTTCATCCGCGCTCACGTCCGTACCAGCCTGGATCATGCGGCTGGCTCTATGATTGGAATCACCTGATCTCGATGCCGATCATCAGGATTCCCTGAGTTTCTAAGGACACACCCCGAAGATTGTCATCGCATTTGGACCTGTCGATCTTAGGGATAGGGAAAATATCGAGGCTGGTTATCTGCTGCTCCTCCACTTTCGGCTCCTGCTCCTCCTCTGCGGGCTTTGCGGATGCGGTTCTCGGTGCTAGATCGGTCGCAGCCCCTCCCCCCCCCCGCCAGCAGCTTGCGCCGCTGGGGGCGGGGGGATCAGACCTCAGATGCGAGGATCAGGCTAGCTGGCGTACCAGAGAGGGGCAGGGTAATCGCGACGGAGCAGCGACAAGACGGAAGAAAGCGACAGGCGCTCAAGCATAAGAGGTGTTGAGCTGTAAGGGACGGGGGCCAAGGTCAACGACGGGTGGCACCAGAGCGCCGGACCTTGCAGGGTCCTCCAGGGCCAGGGGTGCACCGACCCGGGCTATTGCGTCCCCGGAGAGGGAAGGAGGCAAGGGAGGTGGGAGGCTAGAAGCAGCGATTGGCCGCACAGGTCCAGTTTGGGGTGGGTGGGAGGTGCCCTCATAGGGTTGTGGCAGTCGATCGAACAGATGTTCCGAACATGTCAGAAACATGTACAGCATGCTTGAAGCATGTTTGGAACATGTTTCAACCAATGTAACACACATACTTGTCTCAACATTGTAAACACATTGGACATGTTTCAAAACATTGCAAACACATTGTAAACAGTGTTGGGATGTCCATTATCATGGCATCCGCAATCATGGGGCGTGGCGTGGAGCCCAAACGTGCAGGGGGAGGGAAGGGGCGGCGGGGGGGGAAAATGCCAGGGTGGGCGGGGGCGAGAGCGTCGGGCACCAAGAGGGCTGGTCAGCTGAGAGAGCGGCAGGGTGCGGCCGTGTGCGAGCAGCTTCCTCCACCTCCTCCTCCACCTCCTCCTCCTCCACCTCCTCATCATCCGCTTCTCCCTGTCCTCCTCCTTCTCCCTGTCCTTCTCCTCCTCCTCCTCCTCATCCTCTTCTCCCTGCCCCCCTCCTCCTCCGCCTCCTCCTCCTCCTCCTCCTCCTCATCATCATCCTCATCCTCATCCTCATCCGCTTCTCCCTGTCCTCCTGCGCCTCCACCCTCCCTGCTACTGCTCCTTCTCCGCCTCCAGCCCCGCCCCCACGAGCATCCACGAGCCGCGAAGCGCCGTCTCAGGAGCCCGCGAGTTTTGTATCCAGTGCGCTCGTTGGCATCGCTCTCCGCGTCGCCCTCCTTCTCGCCCTCCTTGTTTTGCTCGTCCCTCTCGTTCCTGTCCTCCTCGTCGCCCTTCTCATCCCCGTCCTCTCGTCTCTCCTCCTCCTCCTCCTCCTCCTCCTCCTTATCCTCCTCCTCCTCCTCCTCCTCCATCATCATCATCATCATCATCATCATCATCATCATCATCATCATCATTATCATCATCATCATCATCATCATCATCATCATCATCATCATCATCATCATCATCAAGTTCCTCCTCGCTAATGTCCTCCTTCTCCTCGTCCCCCTCATCTCTCCACTTCTCGCCGTCGTCATGATGTCTTGCTTCTCCTCCTCGTTGTCGTCCTCGTCTTCCTCGTCCTCGTCCTGCTGACCAGTCCGTCCTCAAGGGAGGAGGAGGAGGAGGAGGAGGAGGAGGAGGATACGTACGATGAGGAGGGAGAAGAGAAGGGCAACGAGGATGAGAATGAGGATGAGGGGAACGAGTGGGATGAAATCGAGGACCATAAGGAGAGTGAGGAGGAGGAGGAGGAGAAGGAGGAGGTGGAGGAGGTGGAGGAGGAGGAGGAGGAGGAGGAGGAGGAGGAGGACAACGACGATGCGGCCGGGAGGCACGAGGAAGGCGGCATCTGCCAATTAATTTCGTTGTCGGCGCGCTGGTGCACAGCCTCCCAAGGTGAGGCAGGCGAACGACCCTGGAAGCTGGAGCCAGGGGCATCACCTCGAGACCCTGGATGGGTACGACCTGATGTCCAGGTACCCGGACGAGTTCAAGAGCACCATGGCGACTTGCGAGGAGGAAGAGGAGGAGGAGGAGGAGGAGGAGGAGGAGGAGGAGGAGGCAGAGGATTAGGCTGATGAGGACATGCAGCGGGAGCCGGAGGGCCGGAGGGCGAGAGCAGGCAGGAAGAGGAGGAGGAGAACGAGGACGACTGGGAGCCCAACGTGGTCTGGGGCGAAGGGGAGGAGGGAAGGACGAACGACAGAACATGGTGGAGCAGGAGCTGGAGTTGGAGCAGGAGGATCAGGAAGCTCAGGAGGCGGACGGGGGGTGATAAGGCGGAGTCTGACGACCGCGGTGGCGCAGCCGCCACTCGCTGGCAGGGTGGAGCGACACATCTGGGGAGGAATGCTGAGTTTCGGGCTTGATGATGGGGGGACGCATGCGATGGGCGAGCAGCAGCGCGAACTCCGCAAGAGAGCCACGCCTCGTTGCGTGATATCCGACCCCTAAACCAAACCTCTGGGTCAGTTTTGGAGGTCCCTGCGGCGATCGCGTCGCGGCGGCACATCGGGGCAAGGTTTCTGTCAAGGAGAGGCATGCCCCTTCGCAGCCCCCCCGGCTTTGCGATGTAGACGTGGCTCGTAGTTAACAGAAGTTGCGACAGAGGATTGTCAGCTTACGCCCATCATGAGCAGTCATGTTTATTTGGTCAGGGGTCAACCACCACGGAACCGAAGCCCACGAACCCAAAGAGCCATGCATTCTGGCTCTTGGGGTTTGTTGGCTCTCTGGTTTGGCTTCAGGCCTTGCCCCACTGGGCTCGGCTCACCCTGCCCTGCCCCCGTTTTCTCACGACTTGTTGTTTGTGTTCCGCGCCCGGAAGAGGTGCGCTCTCGACCCGCGAGTCAAACAAATGTTTGTGTTCCGCGCCGTTTTCTGACGATATTTTTTTTTGCGTTCCGCGCATGGGCCCATGGACCATGTGGCGGCCACCATGCAGCCCTCCACCGCACGCTGCGGCACAGCTCCTCCGCTGCGGTGCTCTGCAGCGCCTGGTAGGGAAAAAAACCCACGAGCCACGCGAACACCGCCCTCTTCTGGGGCGCCGCCCGGCGCCTCGGCGCCACACCGCCCAGACTGGTCGGAGGGCCGCGCTGTGGCACAGTTCCGCTGTGGTGATTGATTTGCAGCGCCTGCCAGCGAAAACCCCACGAGCCACGCGCACTCCGCCCGTCTCGGGGGCGCCGCCCGGCGCCTCGGCGCCACACCGCCCAGACCACTCGGAGGGCCGCGCCCGCCCCCTCCCCGGAAGAGGGCGGGCCGCCTGCGGCGAGGCGGAGGCGCCCGGCGGCGAGGCCGCGGCCGGGTGCCGCAGCTGTGGCCCTCGGCAGGGCGGCGCTCGCGGCTCCCGGGGGGGCTCCTGCCGCGGCCCGCAGACGGCCGACCCCGGCACAGGGCCCCTCCTCCTCCTCCTCCTCCTGCTCCTCCTCCTCCTCCTCCTGCTCCTCCTCCTCCTCCTCCTCCTCCTCCTCCTCCTCCTCCTCCTCCTCCTCATCCCCTACTGCCTGCAGACGCCCGACCCCGGGTAAGGGGACCCGGTTCGTGGTGGGGCCTTGGAGCCCCTAACTTGGCCAGCGTCACTAAGCCAGGTCTGCCGTAGGTGGTGCTTTTTCGGGTGGCGGCCGTTCCCGTTCGTGGAACGGGGCGGGAGGGGGCGCCCCCGAGGACAAGTCACGAAACCGGGTCCCACCAAATCCAGTTCTGCCAACGCCCGATCATGCATGCAGGCCCGGATCCGCGACACGCTCGGGCTCTCGCGCCGCAGGCGCGGCCAGCGTCGCCCGGCCTGCGTGGCCCAGCCCCGCGCGCCGGCCACGCGCGGAGTGCGGCTTCGGCGCCTGGCCGCGGGAAACCGGGGCCCCACTGCGCAGCCGTTCGGGCGGTGTGTGAGGAGCGCGACAGCCCCGACCTATCGGGGGTGGACAGACCTCCTACCCTGACACGTCGATTAGTGAGTTGGCCGTTTTCGGTTCGCGAGAGGGCGTCGCGGCCGTCATTTTTAGGTTTCAGGTCCGTCGGTTTCGGTCCCAGGCCGTTTTCACTAAGGGGAGGTTTACTTAAGGGAGGTTGATCCACCGCCGAACCTACCAAACCACCCCAACCCAGCCAGAAGGCCCCAGGGCTGCCCTCCATTCCCAGGTTTGGGGGGGGGGCATCCGAGAGCATGGAACAAGCACAGAGGTGGAACCCGCACGCCCCCCCAAACCCGAAGTTTGGGGCTCCGGGTTGGGTGGGGGTGGTCTGGCAGGTGGTCACAGGACGTTCAAGAGAGAAGCGCGCGTGGGCGCGGGAGTGTTCCTGTCGGGCGGCTACGGCACCGCCTGATTCCGAGGCGTTGCCTCCTCCCGGCCTCGTTCTGAGGCTGCGCCCCCTTTTTCCTCCCCCATGGGAAATTCAAGCTTCGCGCGGCCCGCTTAGCTTCGACCGGAAGAGGTGCGCACTCGACCCACGAATCAAAAACGTGTTCCTGTCGGGCGGCCCCGCACCGCCGTCGGGCCCGAGTGCATGCCCGCGCGCGCCCGATGCAGCGCGGCGTGGCGGGCACCCCCCATGAGCAGGGCGGCGCTCGGTCTCCCTCTCGGGGGTATGCATGGCTGCACCCGCCCTTGCCAGCGCGGGTCCAGGAGGGCCAACGCTGTCAAGCCAAAGGCGGCCCGGCGCGCGGCTCGGGCTCGTAGAGTCCAGGCCGTGGGCGGCCGCCAGGGCGTCCTGCCCGCAGTCGTCTGCAGCGGACGCACGGGCGGGATCCCGGCGGCGCTGCCGACCCAGCCGCAGCTTCGGCGCGGCAGCGCGCGCTCGCCCCCTGCGGACGCCCCCATGCAGGGAACCACCGCTCGACATCGGCCTCCCGAGCTCTCGTCGCAGGGCCCGCCCTAGCAGGGGGTTCATCATCCCAGGTCGATGCTTGGTGGTCCCGGGGCCCGAGGCGGGCCAAAATTCCTGAAGCACGCCCCCGACGACGACGGCCTGAGCTTCGGCGTGCGGCGCCGCAGCGAGCGCCTACCCCCCTCTGCAAGCACGATCAGGCCGCGTCGCGCTCCACGACCGCAGCGGCGTGCTTTTGCCTCTTGGCTCGCGGCATGCCGACCTCCAGCGCGGAGCCCCGCCTGCGGTCGGGAACTCCTGCGTCGCGTGTCGCTCCGCTTGCTCGGGCCCCCCGCGCCTCGGCGCGACACGCCTGTCTACCTCCTCCTGCTCCTCCTCCTCCTCCTCTTCCTCCTCCTCCTCCTTCTCTTCCTCCTCCTTTTCTTCCTCCTCCTCCTCCCACCTCCTCCTCCTCCTCCTCCTCCTCCTCCTCTCCTCCTCCTCCCCTCCTCCTCCCCCCCTCCCCCCTCCTCTCCTCCTTCCCTCCTCCTCCTCTCCTCCTCCTCCTTCTTCTCCTCCTCCCCTTCCTCCTCCTCGCCTCTCCTCCTCCTCCTCCTCCTCTCCTCCCCCTCCTCCGCCTCCTCCTCCTCCTCCTCCTTCCCTCCTCCTCCTCCTCCTCCTCCTCCTCCTCCTCCTCCTCCTCTCCTCCTCCTCCGCCTCTCCTCCTCCTCCTCCTCCTCCTCCTCCTCCTCCTCCTCCTCCTCCTCCTCCCCCCTGGCCCCCCCCCGGCGTCAACGCGCCGAGCCCTTCCCGGCCCCCCGCCCCGCGGAGCGGAGCGACGCGCCTCCCACTCGCGAGGCGCAGCGTGTCGCCTGTCCGTGGGACACGCCGGCCGCCGCCTTGGACGCGAGATGGCCCCCGACCCGAAGAATTACCAGCCTCGAACGTATCCCTATCCCTAAGATTGACACGCCAAAAGGCGATGACAATCTTACGGATTCGCCCTCAAAAAATAAGGGAATCCCTAAGTTTGGCATCGTGACGAGGAGGTGCCCAGCATAGGGATAGGAGATGTTCCAGGCTGGTAAGAAGGAGCCTCGGGGCCCTGCCTGCTCGGCGGCCTCCTCCGCCCCGCGCGCGCGCGGCCGGGCAGGCGGGCGAACCCCCGCGCACGGCGCCAGGCGCTGTCGGGGCTGGGCGGCGCGGCCCCGGAGAAGCGATGCAGCTCTGGGCGTCGGCTTGTTTGTTGTCGTCGCCTTGATTAAAGCCGTGCGTCGCCCGCCTAGCTTTTGGCGGAAGAGGGTCGCTCTCGCCCCGCAGATCAAAACACAAAATGATTTTCGCCGCCTTCGGCTTCGCGCCGCTCGTGGCCTCCAGGGGCCGCGTTCGGGCCCAGGGGGCCGTCCGGAGCGGACCCGGGGAGCGAAGGTGCCCGGCCGCGCGGCTTCTCTCGCGCGGGGCCCGTGGTGCTCCGTCGCCCCGGCGGCGCCATGTCTGCAGAGCCCGCGCGCTGGGCTGCCTGCGCCCTCGTTCTGCCCGTGGGAGGGAGGGCCGGGCCGCGGGCGGCCGGCGGAGTCCGCAGGCGGTCGTTGGTCCCCTCGGGCATGGGTCCACCTCGATGCGATCGATCCGAGGCGATGTCGAGCAGAGGAGGCAGACATGTACCGATGCCGCACCCTCCCCGCGTTGTCGCCTTTTTGGGGCCTCCTGGGAAAGCCCTCGGTACCTTGTCATGTCCGCCGTCGATTCCGGCCAGCCCGATCCGATCCGATTCCGATATTTCGACGATCCGATGCGGCCCGATGCTTGCATGGCGCTGTTGTGCATCCTGGCGCGGCCGACTCCGTGCCGATGCAGCACCATTCGACGCACGTTTCGATTCGATCCCATTTTCCGAACAGATGCCGGCTCACCCTGGGGGGGAAAAGGGAGGGAGAACAACTACATACATTATCTTGGCGAAGGACCCACCCATACGCAGTTGTGAGTACCGTCGTTGCGGGTATTGTTTTCGGTAAATATCCTCATGGGGCCACGACGCGAGTGAAGGTTGTGCCGAAATGGGGCGGGGCCGCCATGCGGGCGCTTCAA